GTAGTATAATTGGCTCCAAGATATCAGTGAACATCCACACTATTAATGTTTGAGGCCAAAAAATATCTTGTTTTGATATAGAGGATTAAGAGCAAATGAAATCCAGAAGGTAAACATGTCACATTTGAAAATCAAAATTCTGACTACAGATAAATTTATAATCTTAGAATGTCTTATTAAATATTTTTGAATTAAGGCAAGTTATAAATGACATAGAATTTTTCTTACAGTTTTAAGGACTGAAGGTTTCCACTGTATATTTGTCATTATAGCCATATAGCTGAGAGGCAGAAAAATAAATTCGCCAATCCTATTTTTCAATATCCTCTTCAGCCACATTGAAGTCTGGACTGTATCAAATATCATATTTTCTCTGTCATATTATTTTATAACTTGATTTTTTCAGTCAAATTATCTTTAATTTTAGTGTTTTTAATTTTATAACTTAAGTTTATGCTTATTAAAAATTCTCCCACAGTGACCAGATAGGTTCACCTTACTGGAAAGTCTATTTTTCAGCTCTTGAGTTGTTCCCTGTCTGGTAAAATGCTGTATTCAAATATTAAGGTAAGAGACTGCTTAAAGATTATCCAATTATCTCAGTATTTTGGCCCTAGATGTCTTTCACATTCTTATCAATTCCTTATGTTCAGCTTCCCAAAACTGAATTTTTCTTCCAGAACATCAGAAAGAAGGCTACTGGAATTCCAGCACATTTTTACAATTAAGCAATCGGACAACAGTATCTGCTATGATTATGATTAAGCAGATCCAATGTAAAAATTTCCCTAGTGATAGATTCATCAATAGTCATTAATCTCACAGTTTTTAATTAAACTTCTAAAATTGGTCACTGAATCCGTGTGTAGGTGATAGATTTAAAAATATATATATATATATATATATATATACTGAAATATACATATGACCATGCCTACATAGGTAAATGTACTTTAAAACTACAAGGAGCTATCGTATGGAATAAAGGAACTTCCCAAATCACATCATCAGACACATTTTTATTGCCCAGCTAAATTCCTTAGAAAGGAGAAATACTTTAAACTAAATATGGTCCACAGAATAGAGGACAAGCATATTTTTAGCAACTCAAACTCATAAAACAGATTTATTTTTTTTTAAATTAAAAGCCTTAGCAAGTCAAGATAGCATTTCCATAGATCGGTGGTGCCCAATCAATAAAAGAAAGGAGACAAGAAAAAACTGTCACTTACACACTGAATAAAAAACATAAAAATTTTAAATAAATAACCATAACTTCTGCAAAGTTGAATCTTTATTCTCTCCTTTGGATCCATGACCCTCCCCACTCCCCTGGGACAAAAGCAGTTCTGATAAAGGATACTTAGAAATACCTCTTCCATCTCTATGAATTAATTCATAACCCATGCCTTCCCTTTTTTTTTTCAAAATGCTGCTTAAAATGAATTTTTTCCAAGTTGTTTCCTTTATTTTCACATTTTCCAAATCCATCATTTTATTAGCTTATTTTCTTAATTAATAAACAGAAAATCCTCAATTATCCTCTCGAATGGAAGCCAGAGTATAAGTAATTTAGAAACTATTTCTATTTGACTTGAAATGCACTGTGATTCTGTAGACAATGGACTGAAATCCCTTTTTGATTCAGGGTAAATGTGAAATGAGTTTATACCCTTTAATACCCATTAACTGATAATTCAAGGAATGGACCTTGACTTGCGATTGTGAAAGCATTAGAGTGGTAGGTAGCAATTTAGTTTGGCTGTAAATATTTACCAAAATTACTATTATTCAAAAAGTTAAACGCTTCCTGTGGCTATATACATTTTCCTTTTTTTTTTTTTTTAAAGATTTTATTTACTTATTTGACAGAGAGAGACACAGAGAGAGAGGGAACATAAGCAGGGGGAGTGGGAGAGGGAGAAGCAGGCTTCCCTCGGAGCAGGGAGCCAGATGCGGGGCTCGATTCCAGGACCCTGGGATCATGACCTGAGCCAAAGGCAGACGCTTAATGACTGAGCCACCCAGGTGCCCCTATATACATTTTCCTTTAACTATACTTTTATAATCTACTCTCAATTATCCATGTCATTGGAAAGGAATAAGAACCTGAACACAGTGCACTCTTCCAAAATCATTCTTACTTGTTTTTAAATGTGCAGATATTGACCTATACAGGTTATCAATTCAAACTAAATGAAGTACTGTGAAGATATTGCTGAAGTCAGGAAAAGTGATCAATATTGGGAATTAATCTTCTCTGAAACCTTCCCAGGAGAATTTGTATTCAAAAGTCATCCTAGACAAAATTCAGCTTTATCCAAAAACTAATTCCATAAAGTAAAATGACTTTTAAAAGTATATAGCTATTATTAATGAACTTTAGAATGCCAATTATTTCATTGACAGTGATTTTCCTAAGATGTTTGTTCATATTTTTTTTAACATTTGTCCTTTTTCCTAACAAGATGTCAACTTGTGACATTTGTTTTATTTTCTATTATGATTTTCTTTATTTAACAGATTATGCAAATATGACTCAGAGAATCTAAGTAACTTGCCTAGAATCACAGCTAAAAAGAGTTAATTAGACCTCAACCCCAGACAGTTAGCTCCAGATCCCATGGTCTGAACCACATTAATGTGTCAGGGAAAAAAATGAACAGACAAAAAAAAAAACAAAACATACAAAAACAAAACCTTCACTTTTTTTTTTTTTTAAGATTTTTTTATTTATTCATTTGAGAGAGAGACAACATGCGCATGCTCAGGAGAGCAGGACAAGGGGGAGGGTCAGAGGGAGTGGGAGAAGCAGACTTCCCGCTGAGCAGGGAGCCCTGAAGAAGCCTGGATGCAGGGCTAGATCCGAGGACCCCGAGACCATGACCTGAGCCGAAGGCAGACGCTTAACTGACCAAGCCACCCAAACACCCCCAAAACCTTCACTTCTCATGCAGCTTCTACAATTACTACAATGACAATTTTTGAGTATATGAGCGAGGTTCTATGGCCTAATATATTACTTACTAATTCATCGTTGTTATGCCTATCTTCCAGCCTGAAATATTCCAGTTTTGGGGTTTGGTGACATTCTGATTGCTTTTCATGTTCCCAATCCTTCAAACCCTGATGTGATTATTTAACTGAGGCTAGAAATTATGGAGTGAACACACAAAGCAAATCTGTATACCTCAGTAACTTTTTTCCTCAGAAACAAAGATATTTCTTGGCTGCTTCACTGAAACCTGAGGTTTTGTAGCTTATGGGGAAAATTAAATCACTATTACAGAAGCTTGTCAACATCACCTTCTGTTCTTTCCACATTTATCAAGTGAACATGTACTTTGTTTCATACTGATTTTTCTTTTTTTAAGATTACTCCATGTACTTGAGACTAGAGCAATGGTCATAGATCAATCTCTAGACAATAGTCTTAATGAATTCATTCAAGGAAGGCAAATCCAATGTATGCATTCAAATTTAATAGAAAACTGAGCTTTCATAATTCATTCTGATTCTTCAAACAAAAATGAACTTTGGTGAATCAATAGGATCAACTGAGACATCTATTCTTGAATGTGTTCCTTTAGGCTTAATGTATTTTTCCTCACTGCATTATATTTGACTCTTGTTACTAAAATGGATTTTTCCCAAACTAATGTATGGAGTGGGGAGAAAACACTACTACCATCTCCCAAAGAGAACACAAAGTTACTTCAATCAATGACAGAGGAAAAATGTGGCAAAAGCAGCTATTCTGCAAACAGGTGGTTTTAAACTTTTACTTAAGCCACTGAAAAGGACTGAGGAAAGAAAAATTGTGTCATTTATAAAAAAGAGAAAATATACACGTATACACGGACACACATTTTATCAGAGAGGGGAGACTCAAAGAAAAGCCTTAAAACACAACAAAAAAAACTAAGAAGCAGTTTATCTTAGCTCACAAATGCTGAATTGGGTTAGTATGTCTAAAATCACTGTTTATAATTAAATCCTTCTCGTTTCATACATAAAGATCTTAGGGAAAATTTAAAGGAAATGGTCATGTCATTTCAGGTAGGACCTTATTCACAGGAAGAAAGATGCCATTTTTATATAAACAGTGCAAGAGGGGATCAAAAACTGTTGAGAGGAGAGAAAAATACAGCTCGTTTATGTTCTTCTGACAGCACTGCATTTTTCATGTTCTCAATACTTTGTTCCACCCCTCCCTATGTTAAATAATTTCATAAGCAACAGTATGGCTAGCGGGAACTGCTATAAGAGTGGACAAACGGATCTTTATTTCTATGCTCCACCTTTGCATTTATTCAGGATTCATCCACTGGAGGTGGGGGCAGCAAACAGGTGCCCCGAAACGCATACGGGGGGAGAAAAATCAGTGTGGGGGTAGACTGGGTGGGAGATGGGAGCTCCTATCCTCCAGACTCCACCTCACTGGAACTCTTGTGCCTCTTAGTCACGCCATTCAGGGCAGGACTAGACCAGCTTCCTCAATCCCCTCCAAAGTAAACAGCCAGGTCCCAACCCAAATGGTACCCCCTCCAGTCGCGGGACCCCTGCACTTCTCTTCTCTCCCTCGCTGCCCACGCCGGGCTCTGGCTACCTGCTTCTCCACCTCCCCCGCAGAACTCCCGCGGAGGCAAAGTTTCCCGCATCTCCCACTCTTTTCCAAGCGACCCCGGCGGCCTCCCGCGCACCCACCAGCTGGGCCCCCCTCCCGCCCCAGGAGAACCGGCGCGCAGTAGGTACCTCGATGTCCGCCGCGTCCTTGCTAAGCACGGGGGCCATGGCAGTGCTCACAGCCTGAAGTCTCCTAGTGACAGACCCTCCTAGCGTCCTTGGGCTCTAGTCAGAGAGCGAAGTGACCGCCAGCGGTAGCGACAGAGTAAATAGGAAGCGAAGGGTCGGCGGTGAGGGGGCGGGGCGGGCGCCGGGAGGCCCCACCCCGGGGGCGGGGCTGCGAGGTCGGCCCCGCGGCTCCCGGCTCACAGCACTGCCCCGCGGAGCGACGGGGAAAGGAGCCCGGCCTATCCCCCAAGCTGGCGGCTTGTTTTCCTTCTACAGGAGGACGGAAGGGAAGGAGAGAGCGCCTGCTCCCGGGACTGACCTTTGCTCTATAAACTGTTAAAGCCTGAGCTTGGTAGGCAGGGGCCAGATGGGAGAGACCCACAGGACCAAAGGTAAAAGCAGTTGGCGCTTTAAGTAACAATTTGCTCCTTTTCCTTCCTTCCGCACGAACCCCGCGACGTGCAGAAACGTTGGCTTCTGGGCAGCTGCATCATCTGGAACTCCTCAAGGATGAGGTAGTAAACGTTCCTCCATTCATCCAACAAATAGGCGGGAGAAGGCAAGGACGCGAATCTAATAAAAGTAGTCAAAACCCGGGGGTGAGAGCGGGGGCAGGGTTATAGTGGGGTTGAGGGAGGGAGGCGAGCAAAATTTCTACAGCCAGAAGTGACAAGTAGTAAGCGATGTAGGTGGTACAGAATCAAGGTTATATTTTTTCAGGACAATCCTTTCTAAGGGCTATTTACAAATATATATATTATTCTAAAATGTGAAGCTCTTTTGAAGAGTGCTTTATGTTTTGTTAGAGAGCTTGCTGTGGAGAGGGGAGTGATTCTCGTTTAGGGACGGTTTCAATCCAAAAAACATTCATCTTTGAGTACATGTCTTCAGACTTCCCTCCGTTCTCCCGGTTAGAGAGATACATCGTCCCCTCTTCTCCCATAACACTACCTGCTTACTTCTAGTGAGGCTTTTATCACACTTCTTAATCCTCTTGGCTAAATTGCGAGCACCTTGGATTCAGGTATTTCCTCCATATCGTTATTCTTCCATTAGTTCATTCATCATTTCATTCAACAAATATTTATTGAACATTTTCAATGTACCCAACACTGCCTTAGATACTCTAGATATAATCTGTCTTCAGGAAGTACATCACATTCATGGAGATTTTACTCGGAGTAAGCAAAATAGTAAGACTGCTTGGAAGATAAAAGAGAAAAGGGACAGAATAACTGGGGTATGCGTGCTCACCACCTTGAGTGATTTGGGAAGACTTCTTTAAACAAACCATTAGATTACCTTCCATAACCTGGAATTTACTATGGAATTTACTGGAATTTATTATTTACATTCTCTATGAATGGATACATTTTCTTGAATCAAATAGTATTACTAAGAAAAAACTATAGAAACCTTAAAATCATATTTTCTCCCACATTTTATCCATACCCAAGCTCTCAGGATTCAGCCTCCTAAAGAGAACTTGGAATATTTGTTCATTTCTCCATCTTCAGTACATCCACCAAGGTCCAAGCTACTGGTGTTCCAGCTTCTACTGTTACCCCTCTCCACTCCAGATTGAGTTTTAAAAAGTATTAATTGACTCATAGCTCACACACACACACACACACACACACGGACTGTATAAATCTTTCAGTGGTTTGCATTGCAGTCAGAATAAAATACAAACTCTTTAGTGGCCTCTTAATAACCTCCCCTACCCTTCTCCAGCCTCACCTATGGCCATTCTTGCCATGACTCCTTAAGTTCCACCACAGAGTAACCTTCCCTTCTTCCAACCATTTCTTCTCTTTGCACATGTCCTCCACTTGGAGGGCTCTTCCCTTTCTACTCATCCTTTAGGTCTCAGAGAAGGCTTCCTTGACCCATCCCAATCAACAAGATTAGACTGACCCTGTCTCTGTTGTTCTCTTTTTTAACACCTATTTTTTTGTCATAGCCCTATCAAATTTTATTTGCATATTTATTTGTGACTTGTTTAATAACTCTCTTCCATTTACAATGTAAGCTCCAGGAAGAGAGGGCTCATGTCTGGCTTGGCTGTTTACCGGATAGTCAGCTCCCAGCCCAGGACTGAAGCATAAGAGTCCAAGAACACTTGGTGATTGAATGAACACAGTAGGTCCTGATGGTGGTTTATGCATTAAGCAGTTCATTTCAGAAGCTTTAGTTTCACCTTACCGTGTGTTTTTCTCAATGTCCTACTTTTTCCTGAGAAGTAAATCACAGTATCTATCAACAAATTTCTAGTTAAAATGTGTCAAACTAACTACCTTCCTTTTCATGAAGTAATGTTCCAAAGTCAGATGTTCCTGCATCTTCCTACAACCATACCTTACCCAACCTCCAAAGTCATCTATATCCTCCTGGAGATATATATGTATTATATATGTATAATAATACTATTATAATGGTATATAATAGTATTTATCATATATACATGTACATACATATACGTATTTGGAGGAGAGAAAAAGGGTATATGCACATATACCTATATAACATAAATATATGAGTGATGTATTTGATAACATATATGGTTCCTTCTCCAACTTAACCAGAGAGCTTCAATAGTCAAAATCCTAACTACCAGAGATAGAGACTTATATACTCTTTTAGACTGCACTCTACTACAAATCTTATCAGTTAGCAATCCATATTTTAGTTTTATATTGGTACAAGCGTCCAAGTTATCCTTAAGAGTTAGACACTGTATTTCCATATTCACTTTTTGTGATTATTATTCTCCTAAACCACCATAGGATAAGTTCAAAATATGCTGTCTTTGCAAAGGTAAGAGCTTCGTCAGTGACACTCAATAATCAAATATAAAATTTGAATGCTATTTTACAATTCCCCCCCAACCTCACCAAACAGATGTACCTAGTTCTAAGATATGTAATTAAAGCACAAATCATGTTGCTCACATGCCACACCTATATTCTGTGATTAGTGATTGAATCGAATAAAATTTTAAATCCACTGAAATTCCACATTAAACACAGTTGTACCTGTAAATAATCCAAGCTGTTTAAAGCTTACTGTAAATGCATTCACACCACACTTTTTAAAAGTTGTAAATTATGATGGCATTTGTCAAGCTGTCCCTCCATCTGGAAGCACAGTCAAATATCAGGTGTTCCACATTAATTTTTTTGTAGACTCTGGAGAGACAGCTCATCTAATAGTGTACGAATTCACCAAAATGCATTTCAGCCTAATAGTTTATATTACATGAATGAATATTATTATTATTATTATTACCATAATCAGAAGGAAAGCTTATGAGTCATCTTTCATTTCTGAAAAGTTAAACAGTACCACAAATTTAGAAACACAATAAAAATGCAGATTTCCATATGCTTTATTTTTTCCCCTGTGGTCTAGCATTAAGCAGGGGTTTTTTTGTATTTGTTCATCCATTTATTCATATCACAAACAATTGTGTACCCAATATGCACTAGTTACAACAACAAAACACTAGAGATACCGTGGTAAGTGAAATAAAAGTGAACTCTATGCTCATGCATCACCTTGCAGATGATTTAGGGAGGTGAACATTTGTCAAGTAATCACACAGTAATATAATATTTACTGTGAATAAAAATATCAAGGTAAAACAGAGGACTGTTACAGCAGAGGGACCTGGGAAATCAGTGAAGGACTTCTTAAGGAATTGCCCTTGCTGCTAAGATCTGAGATACAAAGTTAAAACAAAAAGGAAGAGATCAAAAGCATTCCAGGCAAGGAAGTAACCCTGCAAAGACTCCAAGGCCAGATGTGTCCTGATAGAAAGGAAAAGAGGCTCTGATAGCTAGAGCAGAGGCAGCGAGGGGGAGAGTGACCCAGAGTGTTGCCATGTGGTATTTTAGCATTAGTTCAAGATTTTGAATTTTATCCTATAAGAAGTGGGACACCATGGAATTTTTTTTAAAGCAGAGGAATGACGTGATCAAATATGTATTTTTGAAGTATCACTCTGATTGTAATGTATGTGTAATGCATATTCATATATTCACTTGGGTGAATGTTTTAAAATCAACCAAGAAAGTGATTTCTGAGAATGGGCTCAGTTATTTCTTCCACATGCCAGCCAGGATGGTAATAATCATTGTCACTGGAAACCAAAAAAGTGAATTTTCTACCATATAATAATGCCATTGTTATTTAGTATTTTGTTACACTTATGGAGCAGAGCCCTGTGTTTTTAATCAGTCTGGAAAGAAAAACCTGCACCCCAGAAGGATTTCTGTCTCCATCAGTGTCTCTATTTCTGTTTTCCAACATAAAACTATGATGATCCATTTTTAATCATCTGAATAATGAATGACATGCTGTTCTTGTTCTGTAGTTTGTTTTTGTGATTGTCACCTTCCCTAGACTGTAAGGACCTTGGTGGTTTTGAATGTGCCTTATCCTTTTATCCTCCATGCCTAGAATGGATTTCCTTTTAGAATATAAGTGGCTGATTAAAAAAAAAAAAATTGTATTACCCAAACTAGTAGTCAAAAAAATGCCAATTAAATGAGATACGATTTTTTACCTATTAGACTGGCAAAAATATTTTAAGGAGTGATTAAGGTGTAAGAAAATTAATGGATACTTAAGATTCTATAATGAGCAAAAACTTGTTACAGTGTATAGGTAGAGCAATTCAGCAATATATAGCCACACTTTAAACGCGTACATTTTCTTTGACCCAGTAACTTTATTTCTGAATTGTCATCTTAAGAGAGAAGGATTATGCTATATGCAAAATATACCTAAAATATGGCTCATTCCAAAGTTCTTTATGCAAAAATAAAAAAGTAATAACATAAATCTCCTACAAAAGGTGACTGATTAATAACTGTATTAAATTGATACAATTCAATTTTACACAGTGTTTATAAGTAAGGTGGTGGAATATTAACATCAGGGGAAGATACTAACAGTATATCCAAGAGCATATGAGATTATAGGGTCTAAATACACATGGATAAATCACAAACACGTTTTAGGTAATTATAGGGAAAAGTAAAAGTTACTTTTAAAACGCATTGTGTTATGAGCAAATACAGAAACACATTTACCTTTTATAAATTTAAATGTGTATATATGCATGTAAGGCCCTTATTATTTGTACTATGGTGCTTGGCCCATGTTAGGCACTCTGTAATTTATATATGAAGTAATTTATATTAAAAAATACCAAAATTATCTATAATGTTCTATAATCCACTAAATGAAAATAATTATTAGTATCATCACATTCCTGGTTGAAAAGTTTTTAAGCATTATAGAAACTGGCAAATAGAATTATTAATATCATCATAGTCCTAGGTTAAATTTTTTAAGGTATAGAAACTGGCAAATAGTGAGAACTACTTAAGCTTTATCTCACTAGATAAAAGTAATCTGAGTGTTTGAAGAATGTCCTATCACAAAATAGTCATTTGAGTGTATTGATTTATTTAATCTATAAAACAATAAGCCTGTCAGTCTTTTGCTCCAAACCCATCATGGCTTCCCATTTCACTCAGTAGAAAAAATTCCACATAGTGACCTACAGGCATCAATAATATAGCTGCTTGTTTTCTCTCCTCCTAATTCTTGCTATTTCTGTTTGTTCCAACTCCATTCACACAGGCTTTTCCACTTCTCATTCCCTCTGCCTGCGATGATATTCTACAGATATTTTGATGGCTAGCTCTTCATCAGTTTCAAGCATTTACATAAAGTTCACTTTTTTGGTAAGTTCTTCCGTGACCACCAAGTTTAAAACTGTCGCTTGAATTTCTCACATTCACTATCCTCGCCTTCCTGCCTTATTTTTCTTTATAGCATTTAATATAAACCAACATTCTATTTGTTTTAATTATGTGTTTGATCATTGTCTACGTTTTCCTACTGAAATGTATTTTTTTTTGAAATGTAAATTTTATTAGGTTGTTTCTTACACTGCTGTATCCCCAGTCTGGACCAGTGCCTAGCACATTGTATATGCTCAAAAATATTTTAGATGAAACAGCTAATAGATTATAGCATGAAACAGCTAGTAGGTTATAATCCCTTACCATTTTTTCATGCTTCTATATTAGCATTTAATATTGAATATTACACATTTATGTGTCTGCCTCCCCACCAGAAAGAATTATTCAAGGGCAAGGACTATGTCTTAATCATCTTTGAACCCTTCAGGGGTTCAATGTATGTAATATATGGAAGTAAGTAAGTGTGCTCTAATATATGTTGATCGAATGAACAAGTGAACTAAAAATCAGCCTGTTTGGGTACCTTCCCAGTAGCACTTGTTCCAGTGCATCTTTTGATGTTTAAAAATTGAAATTTATCATGTATGCCAATCAGAGAAACTCTAAACTAGAGGCTTACTCTGAAGCATATTTTCTGTTCTCATTCTTGTCTTAGCAACTCACTTGGCAATATATAAGTATAACCATCCATGTAAAGTACTTAGAATATTTTCAATGAATTTGAAAATATTTTACATTTCCTTATTTCATGTCTTAAACACATGCAAAGGGTTTCATTAATTTTATTTTTTTCAAGTATTCTGAGCATTATCTTCTCCCATCTATTGAAAATGTTATGTCTTTTTTTTTTAAGATTTTATTTATTTATTTATTTTGAGAGAGAAGGAGAGTGAGGATGAGCTGGGGGAGGGGCAGAAGGAGAGGAAGGGGAAAAGGGAAAGAAAGAAGCAGACTCCCCACTGAGCAGGGAGCCCAATGCGGGGCTGGATCCCAGGACCCCCAGGTCATGACCTGAGTCGAAGGCAGACACTTTAACTGACTGAGCCACCCAGGCACCCTATCATGTCTTTCTTTAATATTTGCATCCAATTTGCAGAGTACAAGGGGATGAATTTTTGGTAGTTTGTATCTTAGGCAGAATAACCATTTAACATTCTTTTAGAAGAACTAATATATTATGTATGTGTGCCATTGGATGTGATGTGTGTGTCTGTGTGTATGTATATCTGTATATTACCACCACGTATACTTTTTCAGTTTATTACTCAATTTATTGTCATCACTGAACTCATAAATTTCAAGGATCTTGTTTTAGGTTTCAGTTGAAAGAACTTCCATTAGTTTTTTTCTTCTTCTTTTCCCTTTTTTGGAAGGTGGGGTATGGTGGAAGAGTAAGGGATGCTGATTAGTATGAGTCTTCCAAGTATCACAAATACATTTCACAATGTGATCTTTGATAAATGTCCAAATGGATCTTAAAACTAAATTGAATTGCTTTTTATTGAGCCCCATAATTTATTCCAACCATCTGTGTCACACACACAAAAGTTTGTTTCTTAAGGGCTTTATGATATTTTTTGTCCCCCTCAGCACCACCATTAGGATATAACAACATTAACATATTTCAGGATTAACTTTGGTCCCCTAAAGAATATAATACATCTTTCAGTCAATAAACATTTTTCAACACAACTATTTGCAATTTGTAGATTAAAAAATATGGAACTGAAAAGCATTCTTTTGGCATCATATTTTCTATTTAAAGGCCACCAAATGTTTCTTTCTGAGAGATTGTATTGAGCGGTTAGGATCTTGGCATCCACTCTTGTTTTAGGGAAAGATTTTCCTGGCCCACACTTGTTGTTGCTGGATAATGAATAACTAGAGTATATGGACAGAGCCACCTTCCCATCTGTACTAGCCTTAACTACCATTGATTGCTGTGTTGTGTCCTCTGTTGAACCATGTATGCTTAATCATTAATTTTACTTAGAGCTAACAAAAATACCTCTCATTATTGATCATCTATTGTATGCCTAGGACATTACACATATTTCTGACTTAGTCATCATAATAATCTGAATTTAAACATAGAGAAACTAATGCTTATGTATTTTGCTGGAATTTCTGATAACTAATTTTTTATAGGAGTTACTAAAACAATACTAGAAATTAGTGGATTTTGTTTGTTTTAAATGCATTGTAATTTATAAAGTGCAGTTTTAGTTTTCTTTGTAGAGAATGATACTTTTTTTAAGATTTTATTTATTTATTTGACAGAGAGACAGAGCACAAACAGGGGAGCAGCAGGCAGAGGGAGAAGCAGGCTCCCCACTGAGCAAAGAGCCCGACATGGGCCTCGATCCCAGGACCCTGGGATCATGCATGACCTGAGCCGAAGGCAGATGCTTAACCGACTTAGCACCCCTATACTAACTTTTAGAGTTCCTACAGTCATAGTGGGATTAACTGTATATTTTCACAAGATTTCTAGGTAGCTGGTCCTGCCCAGGACTCTCACTCAGTATACCTTCCATCTTATTATTCTGCCTTGAAATAGAGTAATAGTAGCCTATGTTCCCCTGCAGAATCTCTGTCTGCCTATTTATCTTTCTTTCTATCATTTATTCTATTCTATTCTGTTCTATTTTATTCTAGTATGTCTATGACCTATAATAACCCTGATGTATGGAAATGATATTATCTATATCATGGCCTTTCTGTGCTACAGTATGAAACATTTCATGTATATGAGTACATATAAGTAACATATATGGCTATATCAACTACATCCTAAATAAATATATATGTATATGGTTGATACGTATAGTAAATTCACACCTAGATGATAAGCTCTATTAGAGACTTTCATGCAAATATAATGTATTAAATACTATTCCATCTTTCTCCCATCATTTGAACTAAGCTAAATTGCTAAACATATAACATGAATTTCTAAACAACTCATGATGCATTGATACAAGAAGTAATTCATACTTCAAAATAGATTGTTCTCAGAATAAGAAAAATGTAGCTAAGGTGATAAAAAGAGAAAGATGAGAGAATCTGATATCATTTAACATAGAGAAGATAAAGCTAGTTCAGTTTGAATAATATTTCATATTTAAATAATTTTTTAATAGGACTAGTGAGCAGTTGTTTTCTATTTTGACATCAGATCAGGAAATAGGCTTAATAAATTGTAAGATGGGGCATCTGGGTGGCTCAGTCATTAAGCATCTGCCTTTAGCTCAGGTCATGATCCCAGGTCCTGGGATCGAGCCCCTCATCGGGCTCCCTGCTCAGAGGGAAGACTGCTTCTCCCTCTCCCACTCCCCCTGCTTGTGTTCCCTCTCTCGCTGTCTCTCTCTCTGTGTCAAATAAATAAATAAAATCTTTAAAAATAAATAAATAAATAAATTATGAGATAGTTTAATTGGATATAAGAAAAACAACCTCTATGTCAAAGTAATAAAATATTAGCATGGACTACTAAGGGAGATATTAAGTATTTATACCTGGAAATCTGCAAAAAGAACATAAGCAACCATGTTTCCCTGCCTGAGAAACGCAAACTGCTGGACAATATGATCTCAATAGTCTTTACTAATTTTTTATTTTATAGATATCACTTTTTCTTTACTTTTCTTCCAGTTTCTCTGCTAGTTACAATACATTAAACAGTAACAATTTCTGGCTTTTGTTTTTAAACACATCTGATTATAAGATTATTAACTATAGTTTCTCTTTTACATTCCATTGTCAAGAAGTGAAAACAGTGATACATCAGCCAGTTTTTCAGGAAGAATGTAGATTCCAAGGTAGATCACAGTTATAATGTATCCCTTAACATACATATAGTAAGTGGGTGGTTAAAACTATCTTTAAATCATAATACTCCCTTGTTCAAAAACCTATTGGCCCTGCAGCAGGACGGCGTCAAGGGCTGTCCGGGCTGTGCTCAACCCCACACCCATCAAGCGTGGGCAGTCCTGTGTCCTCTTGTGACCCTGGCACTTGGCTTGGAGGCTGCCCCTGCCCCCCCCACCAGTTGTGCCTTGGCACCTTGTCTGCCCCCAGCTGTGCCTTAAGGACTAATTCTGGCACCCCTTCCAGGGGGCTCCCTGAATGCCCTTTTCTCTGAATGCCTAGTTCTCCTTAATGAGGCCCACAGGGAAAGGGGCTTTGGGCCCTGCCCCACTCTGCTTCGGAACACCAGGTTTTCCTGAGAGCTCACCCAGGCCAAGGTTGGACCCCTCCCCAAGAAGCCAACCCAGTGCCCCTCCCCCATTTCCCCTACTGACCAGTTGATCGAGCTTTCCACACAGATGTTGCTGTCTATTGGGGTGCCTTCTCTCAAGTTAGGAGTTCTCAGCTGTCCCTAACCTCTCCCTCACTGCTCTTTGAATTGCTTCCCCCTCAAGATGCTCTCTCCCTTCCCCAAAGAAGGAGTCACAGAATCCTGAGAAGATGAATGTGCTCTAACCTACCCCCATGTGCCCAGGCCTTATGCATCTGCTGACTGACTCAGCACCCCCTTCTCCAGGCTCCTGGGGGCCTATCCTACCCCCATCAGCATCAATAAAACCTCCTGTCTCCAGTGGGAAAAAAAATGCCCCTTCAGCCACTCTGATCTTAACCATTTGTCCAATATACCAATTCACAGCTCTTTCTATTCTTTGTCCTTGGATTAACACCAACATGATACCGACCAGGTGACCATTCAACAATGTTGGATCAGGAAATTCTACACATAGGGAACAGCAAATGCAAAGCTCTAAATTCTCTCGTTCTGTCATTTTCTCCTGAACTACATAGGCACACGTATATATCAACGTCATTTGCTTTCTCCTGAATATTTTCCTTTGCTGCATACACACTGACATTATATCTGTATTTGTGTATTTGTTTATTGTCAGCTTCTGCTTCCATATCATAAATACTGTGATCAAGGACTGTTTACTTTTTTATTCTCTACT